GCACCATGAGAGCAGGGGCCTCACCTGTCTTGTTTGATTTCCAGTGCCTAAAGCAGAGTTGGGCTCACTAAATAATTACACCTGTTGTAAATTAAATATGGCCACAAATGCTCTGCAGCTCCTCCCGCCAAGCGGAGGAGTCCGTATCGCCATCATCGAAATCCAGGCTATGTGTCAGAAAATTTAAATCACTTGCCACATGACAGTCACCGATCAGAAACTGTGTGACTTCCAAATCTTAAGAGACCTTGCAACTTTCGCCCTTGCCCTCTTGGGACACTGGGGACATGAAAGAAACATGGGCTATCCCATTGGAGAGGCCACATGGAGAGAGAGATGCAGCTGTCTTAGCCACCAGCCAATCTGCCAGCTGATGTGGTCACATGAGGGAGCCCGGGCAAGAATAGCAGAAGTGCTATCCACCCAATCCCAGTGCAGAGAATCACGGAAAATGACTACTTGTTGTCTGAAGTCCGAAGTTTTCTAAACATGATTAAGTCTAGGGATGGTTTGTGACACCACAATCAATCAATCATAGAGACTGACCATATGAAGACCAAATAATTGATATGCGTATGGCTACCTTGCCCTTGCTGTACAAGGAGGTTCTGTATGTATCCACCCCCAACCCAATCCCTGGTGTTTGCCTCCCCTTCTAATCTCATCAAAATACAATAGAACCCAGGTCAGAACCACCTGCGCCTGGCCAGCGCCCGTCATTCCTAGCGTCACCTGCCTGCCTTTCAGATGGTCTGTGTGCCTCCAGCGTCTTTTCTGTCCCATTCACCCTGCAGACCTAGCTTGTAGGTTAGGGTTATGGTTATGGCTAGGAAAAATATCAATAAGAAAACACCACTCTGTAATGTGAAAATTAAATCAAATTTGAATTTCAGGGTCTACAAATAGTTTTATTGGAAAATGCTCACGTATGTATTGTCCGTGGCTGCTGTGTGCTGCACAAGCAGAGCTCAGTGGTTGTGATGGAAACCACATGGCCCGCAAAGCCTTAACTATTCACTAGCTGACGGCCCTGCTGCAGGCTGCCATTGGACTAACCTGGAATCATCCTTTTTACTGAATTCAGTCCCCAACTTTTGAAGACTTCGTCTCCTCCTCCAAGGGGATGAAACGTGGTGCTACATCAGATCCCAGGAGTTAGCAACCTAAATTTGTTTCCAGGGACCCTCAATCAGGTATTATCCGCTTTGTGTCTTCATTTGGTTTGTTCTTCTGGAGCAGCAGGCCACCTATTGCCACCTAAACCCTCCCCATGTCTCACTCCCCTCAGGGTCCCCAGGTCCCCAGCCAGGCGAGCTCCCCTGCTTTGCCAAATGTCTCCCCAGGTGAGTTCTATGGAACATCAACCCCGAGAGACAGCTGTGGAAAAAGGAGACTCCAGACTCTCCCTCTTTGCGTCACAATATACGTTCCTGGCCTGTGAAAGGCTCTGAGGAGTCTTGCAGGAAAGACACCAGTTTCCCTTTGCTTAACTCAACCGCTCCCAAACATGTTAACCATAAATATGCTTTGTCCACAGAACCCTTGTTGACTACCAGCATGGTAGTGCCTGGGTTTCAACACTTGTTGAAAGTATGAGAAATGACAACATTCCACAGAACCAGGAATCCACAGAACATACCTTGGAAATGCAGCTCAGGCTCTTCCTTCTCCCTCTTCCATCTGGGGTGTTCCCTCCCATGCCTTCTGTTCCACACATGTAACGCTAATCATAATAGCTATCATTCCCTTAGCACCTGCAGGCACTGTGCTAGAGACCACACGAGACCCTTGAAAAAGTCATCTCTTCTAATCCTCACGACCACCTCTGAGGTAGGCATGTTATTCTGTCACTGCCATTTTTGCCAAAAATTAAACCATGGGTCAGAAAACTTAAATCACTGGCCCAAGATACAGCAAGTAGAAAAGCTAGAATTCAAAACTACTTCCGTCTAACTCCAAAGCTCAGGATCTTTCTCCTCCGCCAAAGTCTGTCCCTGTAACACACGGGGACTGATGTGCTGGCTCTCCACCTGATATCCCTCCCTGCCTTCTTCCGTGCTGGCTGAACCCTGATTTGTACGAAGAGGCAACAGGTCAACCAAGGCGAAGGATCGTGACCTGCCGAGCCAATCACAATGGCGTAGCAACCGGGACAAGCATTTGACCCAGTTCTGGACAAGAAGACATAATTAAACATCATCTGTGGGGGTAGGGAGGAGGAGCTGTCCTGAGAGAGCCGAACAAAGATATGGACCAGTTATGCCTCGACCCTCACCCAGTTCCCCTCCTTCCTGCCTTGAACCTGGTGTAACGGCCGAAGCTTCAGGGGCCATCTTGCAACCATGAGTATTTGCAAAGGCATCGGCTCTGATATTAACTTACTGAGCCAAGGACATACCTCCAGACTTCTTGTTACATAAGAAAAAGGAGCCATTATTTGATTAACCACTGTGGCTGGATTTTCCGTTTCATGCGGCTGAACCCATTCCTAATGCTTTCCCCCAGATTATTTGCTGTTTGGACTTTATCATTATTTCACATGTATAGTATTAGCCTCGCCTCCCTAGCCATGAAGTACACTTCCTGTAGGCTAAGCCCATGCTGTATATCTTTGTTTCTACAGGGGGACAGGCATGTTTGTAAATTTTGCTTACTGTCAAGGTTTTTGAGGATAATCAGTTCAATTTAATACTTCAGTGTTTGGGAGCAGGGAGCTGTCACCATCAAATAGTGAGCTATGTGTATCTAACTCCTAACAGGTTAGTATTTCTCAAAGTGTCAGTATGAAAACACACATCAGAAATATCTGAACTGTTTGTTAAATGCAGGTTCCTGGGCCCCCTCCAATCCCAACTGAATTAGGCTGCCTGGGGTTAGAAGACCGGAATGTGCATTTTTGACAAGCTCCCTGGGTGGTTTGGATATGCAACCTTTGAGAACTATTGGGATACATAAACCCTGTGGGTTCAAAGCATGCATGGGGTTTGGCAGGACTTGGCTAGACCCCGAGTCACCAGCCCCTCCTCAGTGGCCCCACTCCAGCCCTAAAGATCTGGGAACTTGAGACCCTTTCATGGGCAATAGGGATAAACTGATTGGCATGCCCTGAGGCACACTGGGACTAGGAATCAAACAAGCAGATGCAATCTCAATAGTTGGAACAGCCCACCATGCCAGCGCCTCACCCCCCAGGGTCAAACGAAAACCGCCAGGCAGAGAGGCAGCAACAGAGCCCGGGCCCACTGCGGCCATCGGCGCTGTCCAGGGAGTTGTCAGAGGACAGAGCATGGGGACAGGGGAACAGGCGGCTGGAGAGACGTACACAAACCAGCGTGTGGGGCTCCTGGCTCAGCCGCAGGAGAGACTGCAGGTGGCCCGTTGGCTTATGTGTTTATTTACTGCACGCAGCTCTGAACAGAGTCACACCTTGGGCGCTACTCAGACAGAAGGCTGGGTCAGGGCATCCCACTCTCTTTCTTCCCGCGGCAGAATCCTAGCCCAGACCGTCCTCCCAAAGCTCCGAGAAAGAAAATACCTGTGCCTCCCGACAGAATTTCCACTCCTCTGATACCCCCCTGACATTCATCTTATTTCATTTCTGAGGATCATTTTCCCCGATGACAGGTGCACAGAGCCATGTATTTCTAGGGCAGCAAACAGGATATTCAAAACACACACACACACACACACACACACACACACACACACTTTCAAAAACGATGACCTTTCTGCCCGCTGACATCCAGCCAAATTCAAAACCTCGGAGGAAAAAGACTTGAAAGTGAACCCAAGAGAGGTGGTCACCCAGGCTACCAGGGGGCGGGAGGAGGTCCGGGACACAGAGGGGCAGAAAGATTCAATTAGGGACTGAAGAGTTCAGGCCTTGGGAACTCAGCGACTGCCAGCTATGGGGAGTTCCCAAATCGAATCAAGCCGTGTGTGTGTGTGTGTGTGTGTGTGTGTGTGTGTGTGTGGCCGCGCGCGCGTGCGGCGGGGCCAGCTTGAGGAAGGGAAGCGAGCCCAGCCCCTCGGATGTTTCAAACAACCTGGATGCCCAGCGGTTCTGTGGCCACGAGGCACATCCTGAAACCTTTCTCCTCTGACCCAGTGGCCTTTGGAAGAAATAACTGCTGCCATCTTCTTTCTGGGCAACTTTGCATCCACCCTTACCCCACTCCCCCACCGAAGTGCTCCCAACTCCCCCTCAAGTTCCCTCGGAGAGAATGCTACCAAGGCCAAGGATAACTCCTCCATCTCCACCTTCCCTCAGGGTCCCACCGAGATTCAAGAGTGTTTTCCCACACCCCTATGGGCTGGTCTAGGCATATATATATTTTTTTAATCTTTTTTACACATTTTAGGCCTGCAACAGCTCCCTGCATCCAAGTAATTAGACTGAAAATGGGTAGCTCCATGGGGCTATTTCTTAATGCATCTTTGCCTCCTGACATGTATATCACTTTGGGTGGGGGGGAAAAAATCCAAGGAGCAAAAAGGGGGGGCTGGGCCGGAGGCGGGGAGAAAGAAGAGGTCTATATTTACAGGCAACCCCGTTCTGCGAGCAAAAGCCACCTTTTGACACCTGCAGAATGCGCAGGATCACGTGGGCCCTCTGCAGCGCCTGCATGTCTCACCCGGCACACGAGCCCCCGCGGCACATAAACAAACCCACCGGCGCCGGCGACGGCGAGCTCACTCCTCGGAGAGGAAGCGGATGGCAATAACGGCCGCAGAAATAATAATAAAGGGAGGGTAACAATTACTACTACTACCACCGCCACCCAGCCGGGCGCAGACGACAGCGGCACAGAGAGGGGACAGCCAGTGCAGGCTGTGCAGAGAGATAAATCACGGAAACCCACATCGTGCCCCCACCCCACCCCCAACAAACAGAATCAAAGGAAAGGGGATGGTGGGGAGAGAAAGGGGGCGGGGGGGGGAGGAAGGATTGCAATCCCCCCATCCACCCCCTTCCCCACCACCCCCTAAGCAACACCTACCTCCAGGGTCCGGATCTCTTTTTGCGTGAGGTCGTTGGAGGTAGCACATTTGGTCCTAAGCCCTTCCAGGTTGGAGATACTCAGGTCTATCATGTTTTGGACCAACTCGCACTGCTGTAAGGCTTTTTGCAAACTCAGAGGCTGCTGCTCCTCGCTTTTCGTCATGTTTTCCTCATCCATCGCTTGCTCTGCAAGCCCCCCGTCCCTCCTCCTCCTCCTCCTCCTCCCGGAGAGAAAAAAGGGGGGGCCGGGGGGGGGTGCAGAGGTAGTCTACCCCCTGCGCCTCTCCAGCCACTGCGACTCCTCAGTGTCTCATGGAGAAGAAACCTAACATCTCACACAGGGTTTGAGGGGGTGGGGAGGGAGGAGGGGACAAGAGCCAAAATTTATTATTTTATTTTGGGGTATCAAGCCGACTCCATTAGAATGTCTCCTCTCTCTCTCTCTCTCTCTCTCTCTCTCTCTCTCTCTCTCTCTCTCTCTCTCTCTCTCTCTCTCTCTCTCTCTCTCTCTCTCTCGTCTCTGGTCCCTGAAAAGGAGAGATGCCGTTTCTCAGAAGCAAACCAGGTGATGTGATGCTGTCTATACACTTAGGGAGGAGGAGGAGGAGGAGAAAGAGAGGAGGGGGAGGAGAGGAGGCGGAGGGAGAGGCGGAGAAGGCAGATAGCGCTCACTCCTTACACACCGGTTCCGTGAAGGGCAACATTATATATATTTTTGGCTGGCTGGCTTTTATGTATTAAAAAAAAAAAGAAAAAGAAAGAAAGAAAGAAAACAGAAATCTGGTTCGCCCCCCTCCCGGTGGCAGGGACGGGTGCGTTAGCGCGTTCTCAGGGAGCCGCCTGCATGGCTCCCGCGGCTGCGGCGGCGCCTGCGGCCGGCGGTGCCCTCCCCGCGCTGCCGCCGCCGGCTCCGGGCTCCGGGAGGACGGCCGCCGCGCCCGCGCCCGCCTCGCTCCGCACCGACATCTTGCCTGTCAATCACCGGGCGGGGAGCGAGGATGGAGGCGAGCGCGGGCCCCGCCGGGGAGGCGGCGGAGGGGGCCCGGGCCCGCGCCGCTGCCGGCGGGGGCGGGGGGCGCGGGGCGGGCTTCCCGGGGGACGCGGAGCTCGCCTGGCAGCGACATTGCTGCCGGGCGCGCGAGCGAACGAGGTGCCGGGGGAGCGCGCGCTGCGGTGCATGGCGGAGGCGGCGGGGAGGGACCCGGAGCGCCGGGGCCGGGCGAGGGGCGGGGGAGGGGGGTTCGGACGGACGGGGACGGGGACGGGGACGGGGGCCGGGGCCACCACACAGCCCCGCTCTCGCGAGACGAGGCGGGAGCGCCGCCCGGCAGGTGCGCTCCCCGGGAGCAGGTGTGCGCCCAACTTCAAAGCCCCGGGTGCGCGCCGGCGACGCGTCCGCGTGAACCCGGGCACGTCTCCTCCGGCTCTCCGGCCGTGCGCGCCTGCCTTTCTGCTCGGTTGTGCTTTCTGGTTACTGGGGGGAAAGAAAACAAATGATGTCTGGCGTGAGCTGTGGGAAGCTGCCTCCCAGAACTGGTCCCCTGGCCTGCAGTGACCCTGATGGGTGGCTTCCCATGGGGGGGAGGGGGTGGGGTAATGCCTTCATCGGATGGTTGCCAACTCCTCCATGCCCTGCGTGATCTGTCCCTGGCCTATCTAACTGGCCTTCTACCTGCGAACGATGGCTCCAGAATGGCTTTTACACTTCAAAATGGAGAGGGAGGGGAAATCAAGAGAATACTTTGTGACGTGACAGTTATAAGATATTCTCATTTCAGTGTCCGTAAAGAAAGCTTGATTAGACACCACTCACTTGTTTGTTGCGTTTGCTTTTGCATTAATTATAACAGCAGACTTGAGGCATTGCAACAGACACTGTTATGACTTGCAACGCCTACGATATTTAGGTATCTGGACCTTTTCATAAAAGTTAGGTGACCCTGATTAAATCGCCGAACATGTTCTTGCCTCCAAGTTCTCTGCGCTCTGTGTCCCCTCTGACCAGGCCACACACACACACACACACACACACACACACACCCCTTCCCAATCCTCTCCGATTGCCTCCTTGTCACTCAGTGTCAACTCAGGTATCATCTCAGAGGCTTCATCTCCCGGACCATCTGAAAATAGTGCTCCCAACACAGATTGGCCAAAGAATATACTTAGGATAATTAACAAAAGACACCTCTTTCTCCAGGTGCCAACAGAGCTCTGTGCCAAGGCACTAGGCTTGTGGGGTAGAATCGACTCAGAACACACGGCACAATGTATATCCCTTAAAGGAAACCACTTGAGAAGTGCAATGACAGCCAGTGTTGGCAAACCTCTTTCAGGCTGTAGGTCATGGGGTTTTATAGTTCACACGGAGCTGAATCAGCATTTTCAAAATCCCTCTGCTGAGGAGACGCTGCAGGTTCCCAGTCTTTTGGACTGTGAAGTTTATGGATTCCTGTTCTCTGGTGAAATTATCCTTTCATCTATTTTGTCCCATCATTTGCTTTGTTTTTCTTTCTTTCTTTTTTTAATATATATTTTTATTGATTTTTCACAGAGAGGGAGGGAGAGGGAGAGAGAGCTAGAAACATCGATGAGAGAGATACATCGACCAGCTGCCTCCTGCACACCCCCCTACGGGGATGTGCCCGCAACCAATGTACCTGCCCTTGTCCGGAATCAAACCTGGAACCTTTCAGTCCGCAGACTGACGCTCTATCCTCTGAGCCAAACCGGTTTCGGCTGCTTTGTTTTTCTTGAACATATTAACCAATGTTCACTTAAAGCCCTTGTTTAAGTCTAATACCTTGGTCACCTTCGAGGTCTGTTTCTATTGACTATTTTTCTGTTTTCGGTAATTTAGTCCTGTCTCTTGGCAGGCCTTATAATTTTCATTGAATGCACAATTGGTGCATGGAAGAAAAAAAATTGAAGAGAGGCTCCAGGTGATGTTATCTAACTCTAGAGAGGGCTCACCTTTTCCCTAGAGTATTAGCCTCTCAAATTTTATCTCAACCCTATAAGACTGCCAAAAGTTCTGCTTGTTTCGCTCTCCCCCAGCAGGAAAAGGTGACTCAGAATGTCTCAATATAATTCCTCTGGCTCCTGAATCTTGGCCCTTGGTTGCTTCCAAGCTCTCTGAATGCCTTTAATGGTGGTGGTGGTGGTGGTAGTGCTGGTGCTGGTGGTGCTGGTGGTGGTGGTGGTTGGATCTGACCTTTCCAGCTATTTTCAGATAAAGTGGAGACTTGAGCAATGAAAGGAGCCCCCAGCTCAGAAGTCATCAGCTGGACTCTAAGCACACACAAATGCACTGTTTGCCACCTCCCTATTTTTTGCAACTGATTGTAAAAATATTAAATATAGTGGCTGTTTGTTAGGCTTTGTATCCATCCAGCCTCCTTTGAACATCCTTCCTGCTTGGAAAATGCCCCATATTATGAGTCTCGTGTCTCCATAAGAGAAACCAAAGCACTTTTCCAGAAACTTCCTTGCAACCCAGTTTCAAGTGATCGAAGCTCTAACATGAAACAAATCCCATGAGGTTTCTACTGGAGTGAGGAGCACAGAAGCAGAGTCTCTCTGAGAGCGAGGACACTGCTTCCAGGTGTCCTGCCCTGTGTGGGCTTGGTGTCCATGCTGTGGTTTGGGCATCCTTCCTGGCTGCACATCCAAGCCTGGTTCTCCTCTCCTCCCCTCCCCTCTCCTCCCCTCCCCTCCCCTCCCCTCCCATCTCTCCCCTCCCCCCCTCCCTTCCCCTCCCCTCCTATCTCTCCACTCCCCCAGTCCCCTCCCCTCCCCTCTCCTCTCTCTTCTCCTCTCCCCTCCTTTTCCTTCCCCCCCCCCATCCCCTCTCCTCTCTCTTCTCCTCTCCCCTCCCTTCCCTCCCCCCCCCCACCCCATCCCTCCCCTCTCCTCTCCTTTCTTCCCTTCTCCTCTCTTTTCCTCTCCTCTCCTCTCCTCGAGATTCTCCAGGAGAATCTTTGGAGCCACCTGCCTTAGTTGTTCAGGCTGCCATAGCAAAATGTCACCGGCTGGGCAGCGTAAGCAACAGAAGTGTCCTCACGGTTGTGAGGCTGGAAACTTGAGCCGAGGGAGCCAGCACGGTCAGGCTCCGGTGAGAGCGCTCCTCCCGAGCTGTTCGCAGGACCTCCCCGCTGCCCTCACCTGGCAGATGGGCTCCCCTGGCTTCCCGTCCTCCCAAGGCCCCGCCCCCTGGGGCTTCACCCTCCGACCTCATCTTTCTCTGAAAGACTCTGAATATGCCCTGGGGGCTAGGACTTCGCTGCATGGATTGGGGGGGCACAAGTCCATAGTACTGCCCTGTGAAGGCCCTTCCGCTCACACTGCCCGGAGCAGATTGTGTCATCTGCAATAAAGAACTCTGACCAATATTCTTGACCATAATTCAAAAACAGGAGATGCAACCAATTTTATTTTTTTTAATGGAGCTTTTTGTCTTTTCTGGGGAAATGGGATGAACTGCCGTCCTGGGGAACAAGTGGCCAGAACGCAGGTTCCCGTTCACCAGCATCCCCACGCAGCCCCTTCATTCATCATTTCCGTTTCCTGCCCGGCCCCTGTAGGCCACTGCATCTGCTGCTGCTGGTAGAGCTTAAGGAGGTTTGAACCTCAGAGCAATAGAACCTCCCCAGTTTTCAGCTTGGGGAGCTGGCGCTAACGGAGAACTGTGTTGTTGCGTACTACCTCTGACTGATGTCTCCGCAGGGGTGGGGGTGGGGGGGAGTAAAATACTGTCACTGGGCCACCGCCTGGGCTGAACTTGGCAATATCTCATTAGATCCCGTCGTGTTTTGTTTCAATTGTAAGGGCAGTCTGATATTCAGGTAACAGAAGTCCACTCCAGTCCAATCAAAACGTTCTGCTCACGTCCAGTTTAATGCCTTCTCTGCTGCTCCGGACAGGCCGGGCAGGTGCGTCCCTCCCCGCCTCCCCGCCAGCTCACCTCGCTGAGGCCCTGGAGCAGAGACATGACTGGGAAAGGGCCCCTCAGCTCAGAACCGCTGAGCACGGGTGTAGTTCTCTCTGAGTGTCAGGCGCCCTTCCCCCATCCTGGGCCCTTTAACAGGCAGATCTCTGGAGACCTCCATGGGGACCCAATGCACATTCTAAGGAACCTCATGCGCACCCCTCTTCCATTCACAACCCAGGAGGTACCCCACCTTTCTTTATGAGGTTCCCTCACCGCCGTGGTGGGCACCCCCAGACCCCCTTCAACCGGCAGTGAGATGCCAGAAACACCCATCCCCCCTGTGTTCCCAGTCTCGAGAGAGACTCTGCTTTGGACCGTCCTCCCTTGGCTTGGGGTTGGAAGGGAAGAAACCTGTTCCCCGCCCCCCACCTCCCACCCCCTTACAAAGGCCTGTCAGAGAAGCCTCCTCTGGATAAAATCTTGACCTGGCCTTATATAGGCTGGAGGTTGGCGGTTATTGATGGTCAAAGGACCAGTCTGGCCACCTCTTAACAGAAGGAAGGAGTACTGTTACCCACTGCCCTGACCTTTGACGCTTTACCTGAAGTTCTGGGTGGACAGGAAAAGTCTCATTCCACATCCCGTCCCCTGAGCGATGAGCTGGCTGAGTTGCATTGTGAACAGGAATACAGGTTGGAAAACGGGAGGTTAGGAGGTAGGT